TACTGTGTTATTTAGTATTAAAGAAACTAATAGTTTTATTATCCTGATTATAACATTGACTTATTTAAAAAGTGTTATCAATTAGAGTTGTATTTTATTTTTAGACATTTACAACACTATTGATTATTGAATAATAAACACTTACAGTATAACACATTTTAAATTACTAATTTAGTTTACAATAAATATTATTAACAGAATTTTATTAATAATGGCTTTGGTTAAAATATATTAAGAACCATACTTGTAAAAGCTTGTAAATTAAAAATTAAAAAATTAATAATTAAAATAAACTAGATAGAATGTGCAGGTACAATTCTGAAATAAAAAAGATAACTGATTTCAACATATCCCGGTATAAAAGTCAAACAAATTTCTCATGAATTAATAAAACTCATTCAAATCCTTTTGTATGAAACCTAACATCATATTGAAATCTAACTGCGATTTTCACGATTTTTGTTATATTCACTACAATATAACAATAATAATAATAATAATAATAATAATAAGTCTTTTGGAAATCTTTTTCCCCACCAATATATTACTGTATATTATATACTCGCAAATTAATATACGAGAAATGACGTCAAATCACGATTTCTAGCCATTCCTTCCCCTCATCCACTGTTATCCTTCTCCCTGTCCCTCATTCCCCACAATAGACTTCTATATGAAAAGTAAAAGTAGTGTTTTATTAGCCGTTGAGAAATCTAAAGGAAAATTATTTTATAAGTTAAGTGTTTGCAATGTATTCACGTAATTACGAAACTTATTGTAAACTAAACTCAAATTTTTATATTAATATAATGTGATTGTGTGGATAGTAGTCATAACATGAAATCAGTGTGTGATTCATACGCCAAGAAAATTGCTTTAAAGTAATTTTTAAAATATACTTTTTCAATTATCGTGGTGAAGTCATTGACTATTTATATTATGATGGTTATTAATGGGAAAAGCTTTTTGTTTGAAACTTTAAGTTTTATTTTTACTTACGATTAGCAGAGAGTATTTTTTCACAATAATAACAAAGTTTTTCGCAATAAAATAATGATTATTTATACAACCATTCAGTCATTGATTATAATAATAACATTGGATTGTATTTGTGATGGGATTTTAAGTGTCTCCTGAATAATAATCATTATTTAAATTTAAATTCAATGATAAATAATCAGTGAATAAATCGTAAATAAATCAGGAAAAAATACAATTTTAAAGATTTTATATTAAATCTCATAAATATTTAAATTTACTACATTTGTAATCATTAATGTAAAACCACTAGAATAATAAATAAATATTAAAAAGTCTACAAGTTCTCATAAATATGTTGAATATTTACAAGGTATATCGTACTTATAAAATATTTTTTTTATAAATTGTGATTATTATAAACAATTTACTAACTAATATTATTATCTTGATTAATTATTAATTAAAATTAAAATCATAATAATTATTAATAATATCTAAAATAAATTATTTTGTTTAATATAATGCTATAAAAAGACTATATTTTTAAGTTTTAATATTAATTTTTTCTGAATTCACAGACTTATCGAAAAGTGAAAGTTCATAAACCTAATGACTACCAGCGCTCATACCAGTGCCACATATAAACACACAGACATGTGGCTCATATTTTGACGGCCTATCCTATTCGCATCACCCGGTGATTGAATTTTGTGATAAACCATTTCCACTCGCAATCTGTTGCCTAATTACTCCGCACGCAATCCCATGCATACCATTCCCATACCATATCCTACCAGTCCACTCACGTGACACATAATCACACACGAAATATAAAGGAAAGGGAGTGTTGGATATGGTAAGGATGCAAAGAATGGCCAGACATCGGCTCATCACCCTATTAGGGCTGACCAGTATCGTGGCCACTATGGTCACCATAACCCGGTACTCATCAAGTCTGAACCAATCGCCCGGTGCCCGGCTTATGATTAGTCAACAGAGACTACTTGAATATCAGCACAAACTGCGGCTCATAGCCAGTGAACACAACTCTAACCAAACGTACAATAATTTGTTAGACAACCTAATGACTAGTTATAGACAACCCGTTCAGTCAGTAGTGAATAGTGTTTCAAATAGTGATACCAATAATGACATACCGGTGCTTAAAGATAATAGTATATCAGTGATACCCTCGTCATCACCATCGCCCCCACCACCACCTCCATCATCCAGCGTAATACCGGTGCGAATCAGTGCCCGTATTAGCAGCACAAGCAGTAGCCCTCAGGTCCCGGTGAACCAACTTATACCTGAGTCCGCAGCTGCCGGTGCTAATGATAATGTGCCATCGCTTACAGCTAACAGCGACCAGTGGGATACCAAACCCCTTATACTGCCCACTAAAGCGCCAACACTTGGGCTACCGGTGACCGAAAAGCCGACGGCGCGCTTGACTAAAGTCGAGCCCAATATACAGACAAATAACGGGAAAAACATTAATAGTAAAGACATTAATAACGACATTGATGTGGACCCACCGGTTCCTGTAGGGGTCGCTAAGGTGACCGGTGCTAAGGGGTCGGCCGACATGACTAGTAACGAAAAGCAACAACTGATGGATAGCCTGGAAAACAACGAAAACGAGAAAAAGTTATCGAAAATCAAATTCAAACCCAAACTCGTGTTCGACGGCCACGACCTCAACACCACTGACCACATGCTTATCGACAAACCCTTGGGTTGTGACGACGATATGGGCGCCTCCCTCGACCTCCTAGTGCTGGTCAACTCGGCCGTAGACCACTGGGAGGCGCGGGCGGCCATACGCGACACGTGGGGTAAGTTCGCAGTGGAAAGGGGTGCTTACGTACTGTATTTGCTGGGCTCGTCAGCCGACCATCGGGTACAGCGTCGGGTGCTCGAGGAGGACAGTCGTTATGGGGATATACTGCAGGGCCAGTACCTGGATAACTATTTCAATTTGACCCTAAAGACTATATCGATGATGAAGTGGCTGAGCGACAGGTGCTCTAAAGTGAAGTACGCCCTCAAAGTGGACGACGACATGTTTGTTAATATGCAACACATCACCGATTTTAGCGAAACAAGGAACTTTAATAAATGTATTATAGGTGGGTTATTATGTTTACTTAATATAAATAATATTACTGTATATATATAATAGTTTGAATTATTGAAGTCTAGTTCAATTATCGCAAACAAAGTTAGAATTTTCATTTCAAACAGTAATTAACATGTCAGTACCAGAAATACGACTTGTTGTGTGTATTTTCAATACATTTTAAAACACTATATCTTATGTGTATTTTGTATTCAGTTATCATGTTTTAATTTTTTATGAAAAATCGCACAAACCTTTGGTATTTCTTGCACTGATGTACAGTACTTGCTTTTATAAGTTTATTACAGTAGTAACTCTGAAAGTGGAATCTTAAATGATTTTTAATTTAATTTTATTAATTATGTTTATGAATCAGGTTTAACTTAATGAAATAGTAATTTGAGTGGCATAATTATTTTGTCGAGTAGTTCAAAATATTATTTTTATAAAACATGAAAATTATAATAAATTAATTGTGTCCCAAATTTAATCATACAATTGCTTACAAATTTAGGAAAGTTAGCCAAGAAGTGGAAGCCCCACCGGAACACCAACAACAAGTGGTACGTGCCTACCGGCGCGTTCAACGGCACCACATTCCCCACTTTCGCCACCGGACCCGCGTATATGATATCAGGCGACGCCGCCCGACCCCTATACGAGACCTCCATTAAAGAGAAGCCCATGTATTTAGAGGACGTGTATATGACGGGCATCGTAGCCGAGAGGGCGGGCATACGGCGCCTAAATCACGCCATGTTTCGCAACACTCACGTCACTAACGTAGACGAGTGCTCTTTCCGACGGCTCATGACTAGCCATAAGCACAGCCCTCAAGACATACGCCGACTCTGGGATGTGGTCTACAGAGAGCCCCAAAAGGTGTGCTCAACCCCAGCCCCCAAGACTGTTAAACCGGCTGTTGCTAGCAATCCCGGTGTTAATAATAGTAATATTAATAATAATAAAGTGCCTGTGCCGGTCATTAAAAGTATTAATAGTACCAAACCAATTGCCCAGTCCGCCCCAGTAGGCTAACCCCCAATTATTTGCTAGTTATGTGTATAATTAGGGATTTATTTTAATTAACAATTTTAATTTAATTAAGTATCATTTTAATTTAATTTTTATTTATTAATCTAATTATTGTAATACATTTAAAATACAATTCATTCACTATAAATCATTACCGAGTGTTTTCAAATTCGATGAACAGGGTATATTAATGGAATAAAGTAATTTTCACAATTATTTAGATACCTTGCTTAAAGAAATCATAATTATTATTCATTATTATTGTTGTTGTTGATTGTTTTAATTGATTCATAAATTAGTACCTATTCCTAAACATATGGCTAAATTAATAATTTAATAATTAGAATTGATTGTAATAAAACATTGCTCATTTTACAATTATGAAGGGCGGGTATGTGGCAATATTTGGTAGGTTCAATTAAAGTTTACTGTTTACATTACATACATTTGAATTAAATAATGCTCAATATTATTATTGTCAAAATTAATTTTTTAAAATATTATTAATTAATTGAAAAATCAAAACTAATGTGCTTTTTATTGTTTATATTGAAATTAAAATAAAATCATATATAATAATATTAAAAGGTCAATTTAAATTATTTGATGTTCTTAAACAAATTATTTAATTAACTTTAAATAAAATATGTACCTAGGCTAGTACTTAATAAGTGTAAAATAAAACAAAACATTAGGTAACACTGTATTATTACACTTAATTATTATGATATAATATTACAATGTTTAAATAATTTTATAGTATTTTTGGAGTTAATGAAAAATAAAGTAAAATTAAATTTCTTTTAATACATTACTAACTGAATAGTCTGAGATTTAAAGAAAATAAATGATTTTTAAATATAAAGTTACTATCGATTAGCACCGGTATGTTATTAAATTTTTCAAACCTCTCTCTCCAACACTTGACTATCCGTTAAGTCAACACAAGATTTATTTCCCTTTTCATTATTCAACTCAATGTTTACTATACTTCTCAAGTATTATATTGAGTGGTTTGTCTGACATGACTACATGACTGTCCCCTCCCGAACCCGGAATCAGTCGAAACGGCATTTATCTAACACTCCTTTTATGTAAAATAAAATCTTTCACATTAAGTGTATATTTGTATTGAATTAAATTAAATTACAGAATATCATTGAGTTATACGGTATGAATAACATGTTTATACGGAAAACTGCTATTATTAGTATTCCAAACGTACTGTCATATTAATGTACGGAATACCATTCAAAAACTATTTCCAGATTCAAATTTTTACAAATCTAAATTACTTTATATTATTAAATAGTTCAACAAAACAAACCATTAGAAAATAAAGTTTTTTAATTAAAAGTGAATAAATATATTAATAAAGACTTAATATTTTATTAGTTTTAATTATTTTAATATAACAATTAATTTTATAATATTAAAGTAAAAATAAGACTCTCACACACACACACACACACACACACACACACACATTCACTAACACACTAAAACACTTGACTATATTTGATGTGAACATAAGATTTACTTCCCTTTTCTTTAATTCAATTTACTAATATTTTCATGTAGTTGTCTGAACTGACTATCGCCTCTTGAACAGTAAAATAGTGGGAAAACATTATATTAAAATGACATTTATGCAAAATAATTAGGTATTTTCAATTAATTTAAATTTAATAATATTTGCTACAATATTTAAATTTAACAATAATTTTATATTTTAGTTTGTTATTAATGAAATAGTAAGTACAATGCAAACTTATAAGTACATTAAAATGAATAATAAATCTTTGTGTTTCTTGATGTTAATATAACCATTTACACTGGGGACGACTTTGTTGCTTTTAAATTATCACGTTTATTATCGTTAGCAGGTCTACTTGTCATAGCTAAGTTTACAATTATTGTTTGATTAATTGTATGCTTTTTACAAGCATAAGCAAATGAATACGAGAGTATTGTCATTACGACATTAACACCAAGTACAACTAGATCAATTGGCTTATAAAAATAAAAACAAATGACCACAATAACTATAGTTTTCATTGACAAAAGGATTGCATAGGCCAAAATCATACAAAACTGTTCTCGGCAAACTCCCACGGCGCCCATTCCATGTAATAATATCAATATGCCGCAAATAAATATCAAGATAATTAATAAATCACCAATGTGCAAAATCTTTAAGATGAACTAATTATAAAATAAAAATAAATAGAACTATAATCACTAAAATTACAAATTTAAAAAATAATCATTAATATTTACCGAATGGTTAGCAACTTCAATTCCTTTTAATAGTAAATATATCACTACTACCATTATAATCATTGAGACAAAACTCAGGGTAACAAGTAACCACTTTCTACTATGAAAGTAACAACCATGCTTATTATTATTATTACTATCCATCTTTGTTAAATTGCTACTAGCATTTGAAATTATTTTTATATAAAGTTTTAATTTAGTAAATACTAAAATGCCTAATAAATTAAATTCTTATCTTTTGATATAAATGTGCATTTGAAGGACAGTTTCTTATGAACAATAACTCTATTATAATTTGTATACAAAATTTAGACAGATAACTTATTGATTTATATTTCATAAAATAAATTTAAGCATTTTAATGATTTTAGACAAAATTAAAATTAAATCACTAGAACGCATTTATAATATAAAATTAAAAGAATATTTTAATTAAGGTTAATAGTATAATTTATATAATTCTACAAGCTGAAATACATTATTTATCATTATAAAATATACTGTTTAAGTTTTATTTAATAAGGCTGTAGCAGTCATAGAAATCCTGCCTAAATTGCGTCTGTAGCACGTCTCGGCAAATGTATAAGCAAGGTACGCTATCACCAAATATACAATGAGCATAATAACAGCTAAGGAATAGATAAAACTGTAAACCAATGAAACAGCAGTAGCCAGGGCACAATATTCAGCGTATATCATGGACAATCGGTGGTGTTCATTGAAAATGGCAATACAACCAATTATCTCAAAAACCATAATAATGATTCCAATTATTGCTATTGTAGCTATTACACCCTGGGTAATTTTTAAAAATAATATAAAAATAAATACAAGTTTAGAAAACATTATAATACAGTAGTAAGATTAAAGTAAGAATATTAAAATAATCAAATATTACATAAATTTACAATACCTTGGCATCAAGTTTTGAATTGATGTGGAAAGTTGTACCACCATCAAGGGTCATTTTGACTTGTGACAAGTTTGTTAATAAAGAATTTTCAATTTTACTTGTAAGGTTAACAGTTTCATTTAAATCTTTTAAAGAATCATTTTCACGGTTAATTACTGGAATAACACTGGTTAAATTAATGAAATCAATGGTTTGGTTACCAATTCCAGTAAAATTATTAACAGCAGGTAAACTAATGTTGCCCGATTCATTTCCCATTAAACCCAACTCAGTTGATCCAGTAGAATTATTAGACTCTTGTGTTACACTTTCGGATCCACTTAATATATCAAACATATTCTGTTGTCGATAAAAATATATTATATTATTTGTTTGAAATCAAAATATTGTTATTTAAAATATGAAACAACTAAAAATATAATTATATAAAAAACTTACAAAATTAGATATAAAATATAGGAAAATCATTAATATAATTTTATATACCGGGAAACTCTGTATAGTTTTTACAAAAGAGTCAATTGAGTTGCCAAGGTTATCCAAATTAGTAGTTAAAGTATCATTTACTAGACCATCAGATGAATTGACAAAAGTATCCTGGATTGGTTTATTGGGGCTAACGATATTACAATATTGCGATCCATTTAATCCAGAAAACAAATTCACCGCAAATATGATTGCATATATGAGCCCAATTAGTTTAGTCAAAATTAAAATTAGATTCACCACAAGAATTGTCCACTTTTTACATGCGAAACTTTTATTACCATTATTATCAGCCATTATAAAATTGCCAAAATAACTATTTTATTCAAGAACTTGTTCAAAATCTAAAATTATACTCAATAAAAAGAATGTATGTGCTATGATATTTATTTAAAGATTATTTAATGATCTAGCATATTTGAATATTTTTTCTAGAATATTACATTGCAATAAATATTTTAATATTTTGTTTAGCTATCGTTAAATTAAAAATTATTGTGATTAATAATTTATTTAGCAATACTTAAATGATTATTAGTTTTTAATAAATAAATGATGCAAAGTTCTAAATGCAATTTAGTTTGAAATTAGCTATCATTATTAAAAAATAATTAACAATTATTTAATTTAGAAAATAATAGAAAATATTTAAGTTTTATTGAAAAGTAATTATTTATATTATTTATTAAAATTACTAAATTATACAAATTTATTATGTTAAAGTATAAATCAAATTATCATTGTTTATTTTATAATGTATTTTACATAAAATAATACAAAAATATGTTAAATATAATTTCACATTTAAATATTGACATTTGTAAATATTACATAAGCTAGATCGTCTCTATCACGATTACGTTTGTGACATTCCTTTGCATACAAATACGTTAAATACAAAATCATAGTATTTATTATAAAAGCAAGAATATAAACATAATTCATAAAGGATAAAATTAACAAGGTAATTGATTCCAGAGTTAATAATAATAAATAAATTACTGCTAAGAAGTTATTCTCTGAATATATGGCCATAGAACCAATAGACTCTATACCAAAAGTTACCGTGCCAGTTATTCTCATTGTAGGCTTATAGTCATCCTAAAATTATATTAGCATTTTATTTTAAACATAATTTTAATGAATATTTAATCATTAAAGTGAATAAAATATAATTGACACGATTAAAGATTTATAAATAAATTACCAAATGTTGAAAATTGTTACTTGTTGATACATAAATTGCAACAATAATAATTATTATTGATATAATCAGTGAAATGATACATTTTGTAAATAATGCCAATTTTATGCAATTAAAACGACTCCAACTCAAATTATGAGCTTGGTTCATTGTTAATAAACTAATAAACCATAAACTATTAAATTAAATAATTATCAAACAATATAAGTTTACAGTATTTAAAATTGATAATATGACTATCCTTTTAAGTTTAGAATTTATACATAGTCATTTTATTGGTTTAATAACCGTTACATGGCACAATATTAGAGTAAACAAGTACAGTATACAGTACAGTATTTCTACATTTATTAATTTTACATGTGAAAAGCTTCAAGGCAAACAAATTACAGTATTGATAATATTAAACAGGTAATTGTGTCTGTGCCTTCCATATAAAACGGTCACCATTGTAATCTTGATCCTTTTTAGAATGATAATTATTAAAATTACTGCCTTTCCTTGGAACATCCTGGCCATTATTTGTGATGTCATCATATACCGGGTGCATTATAGTTTGAACACGACAATCTACAGCAAATGAATAGGCCAGTAATGTGAAAGCCACTGCAAATACGAGCCAGATTATATTGAATTTATCTCTGAAGCAGCTGATAATCAAGATTATTGTACTCAGGGTCAGTAAAACAGCGTAACTTATAGATAGTCCGTAATGCTCCAGGTAAGCACCTATCATACCCACCACATGTAAGGCTACGACTATAATACAGGCCACTATCGCTATAGGAATAAAATTCTGTTATTGAAAAAATTAACAAGTTAATAATATTGTGAAAATTAGTAATTATTTTGTTTTTCATATATCGGCATTACCTTGTTATCAAAGATTTGTTGCATTGGTTTATCAGTCGAGTTTAAGTTAATAGCGTAAGCGGTGTTAATAATTACGCCAATAATTGAAAATAGTNTGGAATAACACTGGTTAAATTAATGAAATCAATGGTTTGGTTACCAATTCCAGTAAAATTATTAACAGCAGGTAAACTAATGTTGCCCGATTCATTTCCCATTAAACCCAACTCAGTTGATCCAGTAGAATTATTAGACTCTTGTGTTACACTTTCGGATCCACTTAATATATCAAACATATTCTGTTATCGATAAAAATATATTATATTATTTGTTTGAAATCAAAATATTGTTATTTAAAATATGAAACAACTAAAAATATAATTATATAAAAAACTTACAAAATTAGATATAAAATATAGGAAAATCATTAATATAATTTTATATACCGGAAATCCCTGTATAGTTTTTACAAAAGAGTCAATTGAGTTGCCAAAGTCAGCCAAATTAGTAGTTAAAGTATCATTTACTAGACCATCAGGTGAATTGACAAAAGTATCCTGGATAGGTTTATTGGGGCTCACGATATTACAATATTGTGATCCATTTAATCCAGAAAACAAATTCACCGCAAATATGATTGCATATATCAGCCCAAGTAGTTTAGTCAAAATTAAAATTAGATTCACCACAAGAATTGTCCACTTTTTACATACGAAACTTTTATTACCATTATTGTCAGCCATTATAAAATTGCCAAAATAACTATTTTATTCAAGAACTTGTTCAAAATCTAAAATTATACTCAATAAAAAGAATATATGTGCTATGATATTTATTTAAAGATTATTTAATGATCTAGCATATTTGAATATTTTTTCTAGAATATTACATTGCAATAAATATTTTAATATTTCGTTTAGCTATCGTTAAATTAAAAATTATTGTGATTAATAATTTATTTAGCAATACTTAAATGATTATTAGTTTTTAATAAATAAATGATGCAAAGTTCTAAATGCAATTTAGTTTGAAATTAGCTAT